TCCTGTCGTCTGTTTGTACGAGTATGCGTGTGCGAATGCATTTGGGTGTGAATGGAATGTTCGTGTGTTTGTTTGCTTTCGCAATTTTCGCTTGAAGCATTTGCAGGTACTCTCGCATTGTGCACTTCGGCACAACATTGTACGCGCTATGAACAGTACAAGCAGAAAGATTGAGCTTGCAAAGGAACCCAATATGGAAGCTTTGTGGTTCGGTTGAATTGATTGTGCAAATTCAAATCTATCCAACTCGAAATTGTACTGTTTTGTTTGGTTGACTCTAGTCTAGCAGGGCAGGCACTATAGGGGTACAATTTAGGTGAAGGTTGGATGTTGTTTGTCTGTATCTGCTTGCTACAAGGCCAGGGGAAACCAGCGGAACCAGCATTTGGCTGGTTGGGCAAAGACAAAACAGGTTCTGTTTTTAGGACCTGAACCTGGTTGTTGTTTTCTCAGGTTGGAAAAACAGAACCAGAGGTTGTTTACCAACCTACCACTTGCTGTTTTGTCCAGCCAGGTTGGTTGTGTTGCTTGGAGTTATCTGGGATCATCCCTGGTTGTTGCCAGGTTTATTCCCAAGGTCCTTGCTAGCTAGAACTATTTATTCCTTCTCTGTTTGTACCTGGACATAGTCAATTTGATTCAAGCGAATTCCTCCCTTCCTGGAATTTCATTTCTATGCGGTGCGACAGCGGAATGCTACCCGAGGCAACGCTAGTACGCTAGCACTCCAACACTAGGCAAACGCTGTCCGAGCCATAAATTCGTAATGGCAGATTTTTTCGCGAGGCAACTTAGTTCATTTTGAAGCTCTTGGAGCGAGCTTCGATATAGGAAATTCTCAGCTTAATCCAATCGGCGGTCTGCACGATACGCTGCGCGACATTCAAGGTACTCTTGCTGTTATTAATAAGTCCCTCTTGATCCCTCTCTCTACAAACTTGGACCCGAGGATAGGGGCTGGTCTTGTACCAGGCACCCAAGGACCCTTGGAGGTGACCCCGAGGAGAGGTTTTACATTAGATAAAGTCTTAATAGCTTGAGTTTATTAGGCCCTTACACCAACAAGCTGGTATCAGAGATGCGTTATAGTGATCCTCCTTATAGGTAGCTATGGCGGGCAACACCTCGATAGGAGCTGGACAATCTTCAGCCCAAGATTGTAGCGGCAGCCAAGATTCTGGTGTTTCAGCGCCAAGGGGAGTGCGAACAAACCAGGGCTTGTTGGTCAAGGAGGTGCTGAAAAACTTCACCGTCGAGAAGTTCAATGGTGAGGGCTATGATGATTGGGCCTGGAAAATGCAACTATATTTCCGTCAGATTGGATTGCTGGAACTAATGATTGGGGAGGAGCCTAGACCGAGTGACCCCACGCTGCAGGAAGATTGGGACGAGCGCTTCTCGGCTGGCTACTATTTGATGTCGCAGAGTTTGGAGCTGAACCAGCGTCACCATGTCATGCACCTGCTACTGGAGGTTGAGTACGGTCCGAAAGCGTGGACCGTATTAAAGGAGCTGCACGCCCCGACCTCCGTTGTTGCAACGTTGATGCTGGAGAGGGAGCTGTCCGCGTTGCGCCTGAGCGAAGGAGAGCCGGTGCAACTTGTCCTGGACAAGATGCGCGATCTCTATACGAAGTTTGCGACCGCGGGAATCACCTACCCAGAGCAAACCATGTGCTTAAAGATGCTCTCGCTGCTGCCGAAATCGTGGCTACAATTCACGAGCGGATTGAGCCTGCCGCAGAACCAGAGCTCGTGGACACTCGAGTGGGTGCGGACAAAGATTCTGGAGGAGGACTTCCGTCGCCGCCAACTGAGGGGTGGAGACGACGGCAGCAGCGGCTACGGGATGCAAGGGAGCCGACGTGGCAGAGGACGTGGCTTCGGTGGTGCTGGAGGCGGTGCAAAGAAGGACGACGACTCCAACGACAATAAGGAGGTACTGGTTGGGGTCGCGGTGCGAAATCTGGACGTGGGGGCAAGTCGGGTGCTGGTGGCAAAATGAAAGGGAGTTGCTAGTATTGTGAGAGGGAAGGGCACCCCTGGTTTTTGTGCTATAAGAAACCCGATGGATGGACCCCCCAAAATCATCACCAGGATGGCAGCGCGCGGAGGAACCAGAAAAACGGCACAAACATGGTCGCCGATTCGTCCAACAACAACCCGAAGAGCAACGGCGGTGCGGAAAAGAAGAAGAAGCGCACCGCGGGCCAGTTTTTCCACATTGCAGAGCAATGGGAGCAAGGAGACGCCTCTGCCAAGGTTGGAGCAGAGCTGCACCCTCTAGACTATTGGGTGTTGGACACGGGCGCTGCTTGGACGATGACGCCGCGCAAGGACCTACTTGACCACATACACGCTGCACCGATCAACGAGGTGTGCTCCGCCTCTGGACACGCGCTGAAGGTGGCTGGTGCGGGACGAGCTGCGTTTAAGGGAGCGGATGGCAAGCCGGTGGTGCTGCACGACGTTCTCCTCGTTCCTGAACTCAAGGCCAGCCTCATCTCCCTCCGTAAGCTTGGCAAGGCTGGGGTGAGTTGGGGGCGAGTGCAATCTGGTGTGTGCATTTGGGGCTGGCTGCTGAGAGCAAGGGATGGCTGCTGGGGGAACCTTCCAAGGGTGTGTTGTTTGACACCATGGATGTGAAGTTTGTTGAGGGCATGATGTATGGGAGCTGGGAGAAACTGCCGGAGGCCAGGGTGTCCCAGCAGATGGAGCAGATCACCATGCAGCTGGACCTGACTCCTAGAATGTGGGAGGAGGGAGAGGAGTCAGCTGCTGAATGTGGTGATGGAAAGAAGGTACAGGAGGCACCTGTTGGTGGAGAAAATGATGTGGAGACTAGCACTAGTGGAGCTGCTAGATCCGAAGGGGGAGAGCAGCAGCAGGGGAAAACTAAGAAGCCGAAGGGTGTCGTTTTGAAGGGATGGGAGACACCCGTCTCCAGGGCAGGACGTACCCATATGGCTACTAAGAAGCTGACTGCAGGAGCTGATGTAGCAGAGCAGCAGCTTGGGACAGAGGAGGAATTGCTGATTCTACCACATGGCTATGATCCGGATGAGGTGGATGAACCTGCCTACTGTTTTCTTGCCCCTGCACCAAAGGAACTAGCTAGCATGGAGGAGGCATTAGCTGGACCAGATAGGGAGAAGTGGCTGGTTTCCAGGGATGCTGAGTACCAGAGCCTGCTAGAGAATGGGACATGGAAGCTGGTGGTGCTGCCTGAGGGGAAGAAAGCCGTACAGTGCAAGTGGGTGCTAAGAATCAAGACCGATGACAAGGGACAGGTCACCATCTACAAGAGTAGGCTGGTGGCTAAGGGGTTTATGCAGAAGCAGAAGCAGGACTTCAATGAGATCTTTCTTCCCACTGCCAAACCCCCTACGCTCCGTGTCTGGTTGGTAGATTAGCCGTTAGTGGGAAATTCATCATTCAGATGGATATATCAACGGCATTCCTCAATGGGATTTTAGAGGAGGATGTGTACATGACGCAGCCGCCTGGGTATGAGGATGGTACGGGCAGGGTGTGCAAGCTGAAAAAGTCCATCTACGGCTTGAAGCAGGCGCCACGCTGCTGGTACCAGAAGTTGGAAGCTGTTTTAGAGGAGATGGGATTCAGGACCAGCAGCTGTGATGAGAGCCTCTTTCTCAAGGGGGAGGGGGAGAAGCTGGTGCTGTTTCTGGTCTATGTGGACGACATTCTTCTCTTTAGCAGCAGCATGAAAGAGATCCAGAAGGTGCAGCAGCACCTGATGGAGAACTTCAAGTGCAAGAACCTTGGGGAGGTTAAGTACTACCTCGGGATGCACGTGGAGAGGGATCTGGATCACAGGTGGTTGAAGCTGCACCAGGAGAAGTTCATCAAGGAGCTGGGGGAGAAGTACGGGATTGAGAATGAGCGCAAAGTTGCAACTCCCCTGCCAGCAGAATCCAAGCCTGTGAATGCTGCAGAGGATGAAGGGGTTGAAGCCGAGGAGCAGCAGCAATTTCAGTCCTTGGTGGGCTGCCTTTGTATGCAGCAGTTCACACGAGGCCCGACATCTCTTTCTCGGTTGGGCAGCTTGCAAGGGTGGTGCAGAATCCGTCAGAGGAGCAGGTGGATGCAGCTGAGCATATGGTGAAGTATCTGAACTCTCACCCAAGCATTGGAGTTCAATACTCCGCATCTGCACCGGTGAAGCAGAAAGGGGTTGAGGTGCTGAAAGAGAAGGGGGAGAGGCTTGGAGAAGGCAAGCTCTTTCTCACTTGCTTTACCGATGCTACGTGGGCCTCTGAGAAGGAGGATTCTTCATTTGTGGGAGGATAGATCTGCGTAGTTGGGGGAGGACCTGTTAGTTGGAGGTCAAAGAAGCAGACGGAGACGGCACTCTCTTCCATGGAATCAGAGTACATGGCGATGTTCCATGGGGTGAAGGAGGTGATTTGGCTGAGGATGCCGCCAGAGGAGATTGGCCAGGAGCAGAAGGTTGCTACGCTGCTATTTTGTGATAGCAAGGGAGCTCTTGGGATGGCCAGGAACGCTGTGCTTCATGGGCTGAACAAGCACATGCGTATCAAGTGGCACTGGCTTTGTAAGGAGGTGAAGGTTGGATGTTGTTTGTCTGTGTCTGCTTGCTACAGGGCCAGGGGAAACCAGCGGAACCAGCATTTGGCTGGTTTGGCAAAGACAAAATAGGTTCTGTTTTTAGGACCTGAACCTGGTTGTTGTTTTCTCAGGTTGGAAAAACAAAACCAGAGGTTGTTTACCAACCTACCACCTGCTGTTTTGTCTAGCCAGGTTGGTTCTGTTGCTTGGAGTTATTTGGGATTATCCCTGGTTGTTCCCAGGTTTATTCCCAAGGTCCTTGCTAGCTAGAACTATTTATTCCTTCTTTGTTTGTACGTGGATATAGTCAATTTGATTCAAGCGAATTCTTTCGTTCCTGGAATTTCGTTTCTACCCGGTGGGACGGCGGAATGCTACCCGAGTCAACGCTAGTACGCTAGCACTCCAACACTAGGCAAACGCTGTCGGAGCCATAGCTCCACCCGCCATATCGGTGCATGCCGCTGCAGCCGCCGTGCCGTTGCATGCCGATGCAGCCCCTCTGCCATTGCTCACCGCTCCACCCGCCATATCGGTGCATGCCGATGCAGCCGCCGTGCCGTTGCATGCCGCTGCAGCCGTTGCACCGTTCCTTGCTGGCCCCGGTTTCAGGTCAAGGCAGTGAAGGCGATGGCGGTATCATGCCGTTGCAGCCACTTGACCTCTTGATGCAATAATGCGAATGACACCTTCCTCGGTTTGCAGCTTTGCTCCCTTGTCCAAGAGCTGCTCAGGGGAGACCAAGTTGGCCTTCATTCCTAGCACAAAGAGGACATCATGTAGGGTCACACGCAAGCCGTTAGTGCCCTCCAGAAAAACCTTACCAACACCAGCAACTTCCTGCATAGAACCATCAAGCCCTTTGACTGATTTCGTTGCAGATGGGTCACGGATCACCGTGTACCACTCCTTGCGGCCGGTCATGTATTGGGAGCATCCTGAGTCAAGGAACCACAAGTCCTTGTCGTCGGCCAGCAACTTTGCAGCCGAACACGTGACAGTGAGTGCCACGCCCTTCCCGTCTCCTTCAGCTACGGTCGAGGCTGCCGCGAGCGTTGTATATTTCTTCTTGTTGGGGCACTTGGCAGCCATGTACCACTGCCATCTTTCTTCTTGGCAGCCGTGTACCACTGTATATTCTTGCCATCTTTCTTCTTGTCCGTCTGCTCCCTTCCCCTTTTTCCTTCCTTCCCGTTGACCCCTGTTGTAGCCACGATGGTGATGACAGCGCCCGAGAAAGCAGATGCATCGCTAGTGATCTGCTTGTACCTCTGTGCGATGGAGAGAGTCTGCTCCTCCATCAACACCTCGCTGCACACGCGTTCTACCGTCATGTCAGGGCTGGAGATTTCGAGCTTGCGGCGAAGAAATCCGTACTTCGGTGGTAGGCCCTTCAGCACGTGGGCGGCAAACGTGGCCATATGGACCTCCTGTCCAATGGTCAGCAGCTCCACTCGGATGGTGTAGGCCCTATTGCAGTAGGATGGTGCAGGCCCTATTGCAGTAGGATTCCGCCGTTTCATCATTTCCCTTCCTGAGTTGGTCTAACTGGGTCTGAAGTAGGGAAGCGTAGAGGGCATCATGAACTTGATAAGTAGACAAGATATATGCCCATGCTAGCTGCCCGGCTTTCTCTTGCTGAGAGAAACCAAAGATGGACATTCAGATGGGTAGAGAAACACATCGGTTCAGCACCATGAATGCAAGCATTTGGCCCTTTGCGTACTCCCTTCGTTGCAAGGGGTTGTTCGGGGCCGGGCTTTGTGCTGTCCCGTTGCAAAACTGCCACAAATCAGCACACTGGAGCTGGGGTCGGATGGCGCTGACCCACGCGGTAAGGTCATGCCTTCCCTCCAGCAGCGGCGTCACGGAGATGTGTTCAACTCCAAACTTGAATTGACCGTAGCTCGTCCCGATCAATCCCGCATCAATGGTCGGTGCAACAGCTCCTCCGCCAATGCCTACGGCAGTTGGAGCTTCGTGCACAGCTCCTACAACAGTTCCTCCTTGCTGGCCGCTCGCAGGTGCTTGCTCCGCCGCGCGCTCCCGAACCATGCGTAGTAGACGGCCGTCCACAATGAGGTCAACCTCCTCATCACGCAAGTGAGGGTGGTGCTCACGAACGGACGCCTCCAGCTCCTAACGTGCATTCAGACCCTCAGCGCTCGTTAACCACTCCATGCGCAGTCAAAACGAGCGTCGGCCACACCAACGTGGGAACGAAGTGATGGGAGGACGAAATCAAGCAGCTAGTTGGATCAACGCAGATAACGCAGCTCTGATACCATGTAGAATTCCACTACTATAGCAGCTTTATAGAGCTCAGAAGCACAATCCCAACACACCAAAGATTGCAGGAAACGGTCCACTATAGCCAGAGATACACAGAAACATAGGAGTGGTAATGACTTGGTTGATTTCTGGTTTGTGCTCTCTGGTTTTATACTAGGACGCAATGCAAAATAAAAGCACACAAGAAAGTGTCGACCCGGGTCGCACGTTGAATTTCGTCGACGCGAAATTCGGAGCCTTGAATTTTGCCGAGCGAATTCCATGTCACAATAGTAGGCATAAGGAGGAGCCATAGCTAGGGTTTACCTAGCTAGGCAAGAGAGAAATGAGCAAAGGATGGTTTGACTAGCAACAGTTGGGATACAAATAGGAAACCCTAAGGGGCCGTACTCACTAGAGAGTACCCCACTGCACGCTAGACAAGCATTATAATCTAACACACCCCCATAGTCAAAGTGGGGTATAATCAGCAGAGCAAGCAATCATAGAGCAGGTTCACATGCACAAGTAAAGCTAGAGGCAGTCGCAGAGGGGGCAAGTGAGGAGGAGGAGTGACTGTGAGAGGAGAGGAGATGGGAGGCGACGGTGGAAGCTGCAGACACACAGGAGCAGCTGGCTCAGTGGCTACCGAAGCAATGGCCCAGACTACAGGAGTAACTTGCTCCGCGGAGATTGTAGCCTCCTGACAGGAGCAACTGACCCACAGGCGATTGGCAACTACCGGAGATTGTAGCCTCCGGACTACTGGCGCTGCTGGCGACACGACTGCTGCCTCCGCTCAACATCCCCCAACTGTCCCACCCCCTTTCACACACCCCTTGCTGCACCCCTAGCTCCACTCCCACGTCACCCCCCTTAAACTCTAAACCCTCGGCTCCCACACACCCGCCCCCCTCAGCGGCAGCTGCAGCAGTGGGAGACGGAGGAGGAGGAGGAGCTGCAGGTTACCTACACCGGTCACCCCCATGCTCGCCACCCCACACCCCCACCACCACGGAATGCACGGCGGAATGGGAGCAATGGGCAGCACGGGGGGGGGGGGACGGGACGGGCTGCAGGGACGGGCCGCGGGCTGCTGCAGAGGCGGCTCGCGCGGATCCTGGGGCAGCTGCTGCAGGCACGGGCTGTGTTGGGTGCAAATTCACATTGCACGACATCCTGCCGTCTGTTTGTACGAGTATGCGTGTGCGAATGCATTTGCGTGTGAATGGTATGTTTGTGTGTTTGTTTGCTTTCGCAATTTTCGCTTGAAGCATTTGCAGGTACTCGCAAAATGTGCGCTTTGGCATAACATTGTACGCGCTATGAACAGTAGAAGCAGAAAGGACGAGCTCGCAAAGGAACCCAAGATGGAAGCTTTGCGGTTCAACTTACATGATTGCGCAGATTCAGTTCTATCCAACTTGAAATTGTACTGTTTTGTTTGGTTGACTATAGTGTAGCAGGGCAGGCACTATAGGGGTACAATTTAGGTGAAGGTTGGATGTTGTTTGTCTGTATCTGCATGCTACAGGGCCAGGGGAAACCAGCGGAACCAGCATTTGGCTGGTTGGGCAAAGACAAAACAGGTTCTGTTTTTAGGACCTGAACCTGGTTGTTCCCAGGTTGATTCCCAAGATCCTTGCTAGCTAGAGCTATTTATTCCTTCTCTGTTTGTACCTGAATATAGTGAAATTGATTCAAGCGAATTCCTTCCTTGCTGGAATTTCTTTTCTACGCGGTGCGACGGCGGAATGCTACCCGAGTCAACGCTAGTACGCTAGCACTTCAACGCTAGGCTAACGCTGTCCGAGCCATAACTTCGTAATGGCAGAACTTTTCGCGAGGCAACTTGGCTTATTTTAAAGCTCTTAGAGTGAGCTTCGATATAGGAAATTCTCAGCTTAATCCGATCGACGGTGTGCACGATACGCTGCGCGACGTTCAAGGTACTCTTGCTGTTTTGACTAAGTCCCTCTTGATCCCTCTCTCTACAAACTCGGACCCGAGGATAGGGGCTGGTCTTGTACCAGGCACCCAAGGACCCTTGGAGGTGACCCCGAGGAGAGGTTTTAAGTGTGATAAAGTCTTAATAGCTTGAGTTTATTAGGCCCTTACACCAACAAGCTGGTATCAGAGCTGCGTTATAGTGATCCTCGATATAGGTAGCTATGGCGGGCAACACCTCGGCGGTAGCTGGTGAATCTTCAGCCCAAGATCGTAGCGGCAGCCATGATTCTGGTGTTTCTGCGCCAAGGGGAGCGCGAACAAGCCAGGGCTCGCTGATCAAGGAGGTGCTGAAAAACTTCACCGTCGAGAAGTTCAATGGTGAGGGCTATGATGATTGGGCCTGGAAAATGCAACTTTATTTCCGTCAAATCGGATTGCTGAAACTAATGATTGGGGAGGAGCCTAGACCGAGTGACCCCGCCCTTCAGGAAGATTGGGACGAGCGCGCCTCGGCTGGCTACTACTTGATGTCGCAGAGTTTGGAGCTGAACCAGCGTCACCACGTCATGCACCTGCTGCCGGAGGTTGAGTGCGGTCCGAAGGCGTGGACGGTGTTGAAGGAGCTGCACGCCCCGACCTCCGTTGTTGCAACATTGATGCTGGAGAGGGAGCTGTCCGCGTTGCGCCTGAGCGAGGGAGAGCCGGTGCAACCTGTCCTGGACAAATTGCGCGACCTCTACGCGAAGTTGGCGACCGCAGGAATCACCTACCCGGAGCAAACAAAGTGCTTGAAGATGCTCTCGCTGCTGCCGGAATCGTGGCTTCAATTTACGAGCGGATTGAGCCTGCCGCAGAACCAGAGCTTGTGGACGCTCGAGTGGGTGCGGACGAAGATTCTGGAGGAGGACTTCCGTCGCCGCCAACTGAGGGGTGGAGACGACGGCAGCAGCGGCTACGGGATGCAAGGGAGCCGACGTGGCAAAGGACGTGGCTTCGGTGGTGCTGGACGCGGTGCAAAGAAAGACGACGACTCCAACGACCAACAAGGAGGTACCGGTTGGGGTCGCGGTGCGAAATCTGGACGTGGGGGCAAGTCGGGTGCTGGTGGCAAAATGAAAGGGAGTTGCTGGTATTGTGAGAAGGAAGGGCACCCCTGGTTTTTGTGCTATAAGAAACCCGATGGATGGACCCCCCAGAATCGTCACCAGGATGGCGGCGCGCGGAGGAACCAGAAAAACGGCGCCAACATGGTCGCTGATTCGTCCGACAACAACCCGAAGGGCAACGGCGGTGCGGAGAAGAAGAAGGAGCGCACCGCGGGCCAATTCTTCCATATGGGAGACAAGGGGGAGCAAGGAGACGCATCTGCTAAGGCTGGAGCAGAGCTGCACCCCCTGGACTATTGGGTGTTGGACACAGGCGCTGCTTGGACAATGACGCCGCGCAAGGACCTGCTGGACGACGTACGCGCTGCACCGATTAATGAGGTGTGCTCTGCCTCTGGACACATGTTGAAGGTGGCTGGTGCGGGACGAGCTGCATTTAAGGGAGCGGATGGCAAGCCGGTGGTGCTGCACGACGTTCTCCTCGTCCCCGACCTGAAGGCCAACCTCATCTCCCTCCGTAAGCTTGGCAAGGCTGGGGTGAACACCAACACGGATGGGGCTCGCACTTATAAGGGGAAGCTGGGCAATCGGGTGCTTTGGGATCTGCACGAGAGCAAGGACGTGTACAGATCTATGTGGCAGCTGCCGGCGCTGGCGTGGCACGGTGGGGGGCAGGCTGGAGAGGGGTCTGCATCCCAGGGGGAGTGCAACGCCGTTGGAGGGGTTGGTGTGAAAGTGTCGGCCAGATCTGGGGAGACAGATTGGGCAACTGCACACCGACGTTTGGGGCATGTGGCAATGCCTTTGCTGAAGCAGCTGGAGAAGGATGGAGCCGTTAAGGGCTTAAAGCTGAACGGACAACCACCCGATGATAACTGTGAAATTTGCCTCCTTTCAAAGTTCACCCGTTTCCCCTTCCATAGTGTGGCTGGCAGGAGCAAAAAGCCGTTGGAGCTGGTCCACATGGACTTGGTGGGGCCGCTGCCGGTGCAAGGGCACAAGGGGGAGCGGTACTTCCTAACCATAGTGGATGACTGGAGCAGGCTAATGTGGGCGTATCCGCTGAAGCAGAAAGATCACGCCGCCTCCACGATTCGGGACGATTGGCTGCCGTTCGTGGAGAAGCAAGCGGAGTGTGTGGTGAAGCGGATTAGGACAGATCGGGGTGGTGAGTTCCTTGGAGCTGAGATGACGAC